TTGCAACAGTATCATACCAACTAAAACACCAAATAAACCATGAACAGTGACAATTCTGAATTTATTATTTTACAATATAAAGGCACAAATACAATGCTGTTTATTCATTTTTAGTATGATGTGAGGTATTAATGAGCCAGCTCTACTTCACAGTGACCCTGGGTATACTGACCACGGCCTGATCTTCACATTTGCTCCTCTGCTTGAGCCCATTGTTGTAGCCACTATATAACTGGTGCCCTGTAACCTAGGGAATTCTTTTATCTTAGTGGTAAGGAATTGCACTACTAGCCTGATGGTATCCAGTTTGAATCTTTAGCTGCTCCATGAAAGAAAGATGGGCAGTCTCCTATGTGATTTTCTGCCTTTAGAAATTCACTGGAGGGTCAGTTATGAATTACTTCTGATTCAAAGGTACAATATGGAATATTCTACATACAAATGTAAGAAAGGTTTGTGGTTTTGGTGTTCCCCCCCCTCAACTGAACATAGTAATGAACTCTGCCCTCTGAAAGTCTATACTGTTACAGTACTTAACAATTTTAGAGGGAGCTCTGGTGGCCTAGTGGCAAGAAGCTGCACTGCAATTCCAGAGGGCATGGTCCGAATCCACCAGATGCTCTGCTGAAGTAGGAGGGGTAATTTCCTCCTGTACCTGTCAGATCTGATCTGATTTGACCGTATACACTCAAAATATAATAAATAAGAAGTGTATAATTTATAAAAAAAACCCAACCAATTTTAGACCAAACCTAGTGTTTATTACACTTTTCAAAACTCTGATGTAGGCCTGAAAGCCTTCTGGAGTTTTAACTATTAACCTTTTCAGTACTAAACAGTTTCCATTAAGCTGATTCTAACTTTTGCTGAAGTCAAACTGCTTCAAAGTTATCAATGGCTAATTTTTTTGGACATGATCACCTCGCTTTAACTGGTTGAACTTGAATATCAACCTTTAATTCCTCCTTGATGAGTTGGAACGTCACTCATGGCTGACCCACCTGTGGGTTTTCAGAGACTAATTCACAGAAGGCGGCCCATCTTTATCCTTCAGTAGATTCCTGGAATGGAGTCTCTCTGGAGTCTAGGGTGTGTCTGATACAGGCTATGGTCTTGGCTAACACTTGTTATACATCAGAGAGTTGGACAATGACTAAGGAGGATGGAAGGATGCCTTTGAGCTGTGGTGCTGGAGAAGAGTATTGAGGATATCATGGACTGCTAGGAAAATAAACATCCTGGAAAGGGTTAAACCAGGTGGCTCCTTGGAGGCAAGGATTCCGAAGAGGCTCAGTCTAACATACTTTGGACATTTTGTTAAGGAGGGACTGGTCCTTGGAGAGGGACTTCATGGTTGGTAGGGTGGAGGGATACCGCAGGAGGGGAAGGCCCTCTATGAGTTGGATTGATTCACGGCAACTGGGGTAATTGGGATGGGAATGTCAGTGCGATTGGCACAGGACAGAGCAGAGTTTAGGGTTGTTGTACATAGGGTCGCTACATAGCGACTCGACGGCACGTAACAAGATGGTGGATTTGAACCATTTGGGTTTGCAGTACAGCTTCTTAGATAATAGTTGAACTGTTTTGTTTTTTTGTGTTTTTTTTTTTAACATTCCTCAGCCTTATTTTAAGATTAGGAAACAGTAGAAGGTTCTGAGCTCCATAAAAACTATCCAGAGCTATTCTGAAGACAGTTTAGTGACAAGGGACAGTAGCTTTAGATGAGGTTGGTGGGGTAAGAGATATTTTGAACTTTTAGGTGGAAAAAATTAGTTGAGCTCTTGTGTTTTCGTGTAACTGAGTTGCCAATACAAAGGTATGTGGTTCAAATCCACCACCTGCTCCATGGGAGAAACGAGCAATCTCCCATGGGATTTACTGCCTCTGAAAATTATCTCAAAGCATTATGTTAGGAATCCACCACACCTAGGTTTTCTTTTTAGGGGACGGGAGATGTTGGTTAGTAAACTAGACTTGGCCTCTCCTTTTCACTACTACTGTTACCTCAGTAACTTATTTTAGGACTAAATCCGGAGGTGGGAGTTCCGTTGGCCTAGTGGGAAGAAACAATTACAATCTCAAAAGTAATGGGTTCAAATCTTAACAGTTGCTCTCAGGGAGGACAGGCAATCTCCCCTGCAGTTACTGCCTTTGAAAACCCAGTGGAAGGTCAGGTATGGGTTAGGTAGACAATGGCTGGCAATCAATGATCCAGAGGTTATGGAGTTTAATAATTACAAACAACTGCAAGTATATGTATGGCAATGATGATATGACAAGTACATCAAAAAGAATGTTAACCCGGGGAGAAGGGTGCAACAATGAATGAATGGAATTCCAAGATCTCTGTAGATGTTCATTGAAATGAAAAATAAACTAAATTAAAAAAAAAAAAGAATGTTAACCTTGGATAGGTCATTCTCCAGCTTGAATTCAGGCAGGACAAAATGAGATTCTGGTTAAATTAGCTATTGTCGCTTTGGAGGGAAGCAAGCTCAGGAGTTATTTCCCACCAGAGCTATAGACTTGGTCCAGCCAGCTAAGTAATTGGGTACCCCTGATGTAATCAAAGAAACCAGGTATACTGAGGGAAACAAAACAGTCAACATCCCTCTCTTGCAGATTTAAAATTTAAGCAGGCTTAAAATTATTCATATAAACGATAGTGACACCTGACCTCAGCTGCAGGACAGGAGGTGGTTAAGCATTTGCTACTGCACCCGCGCCCGGGCCAGCGGGTCTTGTGTGCAGTTGGAGGGCGTGCGTGCCTACGTGCGTGCGTGCGTGCGTACGTTTGTACGTGCACCGCGGTCGCAAGAGTTAACCGTCTCTGGGCTTAGGGCTCCACCTGCTGTTACTGGCTGTTTCTCCTGTCACGTTTCGGCCTTCCTTGAGGCAGTGCTTTGTGCATTAGACGGTCAGTATTGAAGTTTGCTAAGAGGCACTGGGGTGCAAATGTTGACTGGGGACCAGAAGAAGTCAAAAAGGCTGTTGATGCTCAAACCCTATCAGTGAAAGATTGATCCTTGCTTTACTGCCCATCCCACTTGATCAGGAAATTCCCTTTGGTTTTCCCACCCCCATCCTAACTTTTTGCACACCCAAGAGATAGTTCCTTCAATCTGAGGTGTGGTTCTAAATCGGTAACTGTGAGAACAATTAATTTAGAGTTTGAATTCACTAAAATGGAATTATCCTACTAGGTTCTCAAAATGTCAACTGTCAAGGAACAGCTTATAGAGAATCTAACTGCAGAAGATAAGATCTCTCAGCATAAAGTCACCATAGTTGGAGCAGGTGCTGTAGGCATGGCCTGCGCTATTAGCATTTTATTGAAGGTAAGTGATAAGCCTATCCTGTAGCTGCAAGTCAAACACATAGGTTTTATAGATGTCAGTTGGTTCAGGGTTGTAGGGTTAGTGCCTTGACATAGCAAACAAGTTTCTTCTTACATGACTTTGACACAACTTGCTGTGTGTCAGGCTTTGCTAGAATATTTTATTAATATAAGTAGATTTAAAGATATTTTAATATTATACATCTATGGAAATGATTAAGGCAAATAATCTTGCCTTTCTGAAAATTAAGATGATAATTATTTAACTTTTAAAATACAAACTTTAAAGCTTTGAAAATTAGTACATGTTCATTGTGGAAGTAAAATAACCAGTTGGGTTAAATAACAAGTAGATTTTGTTAACATTTTGGTTTATACTTAAGATTTTTTATCTGTAAAAATGTGACAAAATCTGTTATGCAAGAAAAAAGAAGGAAAGGGAACTCTGTAAACCTACAAATAAAAGAAATCGGAAAGGAAACAACAATTTCAGAGACAGCACTACAATTTTGAATGATGGAAATCTGATTGCCAAGTGTAATCAATTTATGAAAACCAATAAAGCTCAAACCTAAGTGTCCACAAAAGAGAACATATTTCCTCTGAAAGACTCCTTTTCCATTTAGACAAATGATTCTTATTCTGGAAAAATTTATTGCCATTGAGTCAGAACCAATTCATAGCTGAACCTCTGTTATATTTTTGAAGCTGTAAATCACGCAAAGGAGACTGACTGCCCATCTTTTCTCCCAGCAAGTGCCTGGTAGATTTGAATCCCCAGAGAGCTTCACCCTTTGGGCTTTGCAGCACAACTCTTTATACACCAGACCCCCAGAGCTCCCCAGAGCTCCCTAAGAGTTCCCTAAGAACAAGGATATTTAGTACACAGCTCTCCTCACTTTTCCTGCTTAGCTCTCAGAATGCTAATAATGAGTCTCATAGTGCTAGCAAGAGATTAGGTGTTAAGCTTGAAATTTCCATAGCAAAAAGACAGCGATCTTTTAAAATACCACAGTGTCTGCCCTTCAGCAAATCATGCCTATATATGCACAAACCATCAGCAGGTTAAGTTTTCATTCTTAAATATGAAAGAGTAACTGAAGATTGCTGGACATTTGAGAAAATCCTCTAAGATGAAAGACAGAGACTAAAAGGAACATAGATAAAGGGACTTACGAAACAGAAAATGGAGGACGATGAGGGAAAACTTAAGAAACTAACTATCCTTAAGAAAAAAGTTATATTTGAAAGAAAAAAGTTATATTCTTAGAGGATTAAGCCAATGTGTTGTAGCCATAAAACTAATACATACTATTTTTTTAAACTTAAAATTACTAAGAAGAGAACTTGAAAATTAAACCTATAAAAACAAATATTTAAAATCCCATAGATATGTTGAAAGAGAAAAGAACCATTCTGAATGTTTTAGTGATATTATTTAATCTTCATAACAACCTTAAATAGTAGATTCTATTGTTAATTGTCTTTTATAAATGAGCATGTCAAAGAACTGATGTTAAATAGCTTCCCTGTGGTCAAATGGTTAGTAAGTAGAGGGGTCAAGATTAAAACATCAACACTTTGTGCCAAAACTCCTGCCCTAAGTGCTTTACTATATTATTTAGATAATTTTTTAAATTTTATTTTATTCTTTTTTGTGTGTGTGTGTACTGTCAAATCAGATCTGACTGGTACAGGAGGAAATTGTCCCTCCTTTTCCAGCCGAGCATCTTGTGATTCAAACCACGCACCTCTGGGATTGCAGTGCAGCTTCTTGCCACTAGGCCACCAGAGCTCCCCTTTAGATAATTTTTTTAAAACACTGATATGACAAGAATTAAAATTAGTGCAGTTCAAAAACCTCAAAGAGTCTCAAGGATTGGAATGCCAGATGGTTTAAAAGGTAGACACTAGTTAAGGATGAAGGGGATAAAAAGGAGGACTGGTTGGAAGTTTGTATGAGGAAAAGGAAAACCATCAGGGTCCTCTATTGAATAGGAAAACAATTAGGAAAGAAAAGCAGCTTGCTTTTTTACATCCTAGCAGGTACTGGGGAGGAGTTTATTCTTTGGAGCATAGAAATCTTACTAAACGCAGTACTATTAAGTGAAAGTCTACATGTTGAACACGTGGACTTCCTTACTCACAGAGTTATTAGAAGACAAACTTTCAGACTGAAGTGGAATATAGGAGAGCAAAGAAACGTTATTAGAAGATGAATCAGGATGTCCATTTACCTCCTAACTGATGCTTTAGTAAGAAATGAGAGAAGAAGATTATTTGCCAAATAAAGCAAAAATTCTAAAACTGAAGGTCATAAGTTATCTGGTATGAAGGACTCATTGATTACTTAGTACAGTGAATGAAAAAGGCCTACTCCCAGTTATGTTAAGTCCCACAGGGTGGCCTAGAGGCAGGAACCTGTGCTGGAATCCAAGTTATATTATGACATATCATATATATATATTATCATATATATCATATAACTCGCGGGCTTTTGGCGTCTTCGATTACCTGGGAAGATGGGATGGGTCTGCAGGGTCTGATGGCTGTCCTCTGAGGTGCCCAACTTCAGCTAGTCAGATGCCTAACCCCTCCTCTGAGCTTCCTGCCAGATGGATGTCCTGCAGCCCTTGGGCCAAGAAAAGCCTATCCACACACCAGTTCTACAGGATGCATCACCTTTGATCGGGAAACATTACGACTAAACTTCAGAGACACTGATCCCAACATAAGGAACTACCATCAGCTGATGTGTTTGAAATCACAGAAGCCAT